CATTGTAGATGTCTTTTATTTTTGAATTTCGAGATAAATTAAGGTTGAGTTTGCCTCAGATATGCTTTGATATGTCCAAATCAATAGTCCTTTGGAAAAGGAAGAAATATGTTTAAAGGTCTCTCAAGAGGTCTATAAAGGGTGCGTATGTCTAAAAATGGAATCGACTTATCGCCTCTAAGGGAGTTACGCATAGCGAATGAAGGAGGGGGATGGTAAAGCGCCTGTAAGGCCAGATAGGCTATTTTATAGCTACTTATTTTGTTATTTTATACGGTATGTATCGTACAGATAGCATATTTTGTAGCTATTTCATAGATATTCCGTGCGCATTTATCTTGGTTTAAAATTTCTGTTTGAGAATATGTATTTTATAGCTATTTAATACGTTTTTTTCTTCTTTCATGGTTGGAACCTCTACAATCTACATGGTTTTAATTGGCTGCATTTATTGTATGCAGTTGCACAATCTTGGCAACGTATCAATGCACTTACCACCTTATGGTTTTCAAGGTCTCAATTTTGGTTCTTTTTCAAAAGTAAAATACCTTTTTAAAAGGTATCCATGTACCTAATAAATAGCTATTCAGATACCTATTTTATAGCTATTGAGAAAACTATAAAATAGGATATTTATAGTTGAAAAAAAGGACACTATATAGAGTATTCAGATAGGATATTTTAAATCTATTTTCAGCTATTTTATAGCTATTTGGATACATATTAAATTGCTATTTCCATAGGTATTAAAAATAATATTTTGGCTACTAGGGCAGTGACTTAGCCGCATTCTTCAGTATTAAATACGCAAGTTGACGTTATTAGTTTCTTCCAATTAATGACGAAAATAACGAAATTTTCTCTTTGTCCTGTAAAATCGTCAGTTTGCAGATAGGCGGTTTTGTTCCTTGGCCATCGATGTGCAAGTCAGCGTGCCAAAGATTTGAATGATATGGAGGGAAACAATTGAGGGCCTCGGAGGACAAGGCACATAAGTGCAGTTTTTGCTATTTTAAGAAACGTGTGTTGGAAGTCTCGAAATTACATGGATTCTAATGGCGGAAAGAAAGTACAAACTGTCTTTTTGATGCTTAAAAATTGGAATAAGGGTACGAATTTCACGCAGAATATGCATTAAAACTAGTTTCACTTGAAATCGTTATAATGTCTCAATTTTTTCAAAAACTGCACTTATGCGCCTTGTCCTCGGGTCGACCTCTGAATGCGCTTGAGTTGATACTCAATTTAAAAACTGATTCTGGGTTTCGGTATTGATGGGAATTTCGATAAGAAAAAAATACATTGATTAATTGTTAGGTACAATGAACTTTATTTTTACAAGGTCTTTTTTCACAAATGTACAAACAAGTATTCAAAATTCGCAACTAAAAACGAGATAAAAATAGCATCGATACAGAAAGCCGACAGTCAAAGAGACTTTGTAAAATTATTGAGCTAAAGTTTCCTGGAATCACAGATTATTTACATATCCTTAAACAAGCCAAAATAACATTTTGTACAATTCGTGAAACACTGCAAGGTGAGCCGAGCTAAAATATTAAAAAATAATTGTTATCTGGTCGAAAAACTTAAACATGAAAAACAAACTGGACCGGAGGGGGGGGGGGGGGGGGTGGTGGTGGTTTTAGTCTACTCTAGTATGACGTCTAAGGGTGCAAATTGTTCTATAGCAAATTTTGGACTAAGACATGGATTAGGGGAAATGAACATCACCACACAGCATCAACGAAAAAAGGACAATACAATTAATAAGAGAGAAAATTTAAATTAGTTCAGCTCCCCTTGAGGTTTTATTTATCATGCATTTGAAGGTGAATTACCGACCTAGTCTACTGGTAAACTTTACAAAAGTTTGTTCATGCGTTTTAGGTAGAATACCGACCAAGTCTACTGATCAACTTCGCAGAATTTGGTTCAGTCGTTGCAGGTCTCGTCTACAACACTTTTTTTTTTGTATGTATCATCAGTCATTAATTAATTGACCAAAAAAATGTATAATATAAAATATAAAAGCTTCGGATTTTGCAAATAATAAAAAGAAAATTGTTGCGTCTTTTAAAATTTGTTAAAAGTTAAAAAAACTTTCAAACGAAGGACTAGATAAAAACTTTTGAATTTGTACAAAAAGAGAAGTTTAAAAGAAGAATAAGACAAATTTAAAACAGCACATTATTTACAATTTGGTAAAACTTTACAAACTCATTAAAACTCTTATATGTTAAAAGATTATTAGTCTTCGAAAGCAACAAAATGTGAGAGGGAAAAAATAACTGACCAAAAAAAGATCAACTAAAGGCAGATAGAGATGCGCAATTTAACAAGCCGTATCTGACTCGACCAAAATTTGGGTATTGTCAAGGTAACAATGAGGTCGTTTTTCGAGTCAGAGTTAAATAGAAGATAAAAAAGCGTTTTCCTTTCAGAATATAAAAATTATCTTGAAGAAAACGTTAAAAATTGTTTTAAAGAAAACAAATGTGATGATCCAACTGTTTTGAAAATTCCCTCCGAAAACGCAACGTTGTCTTAACAAGATAAAACCTTAAAAAAAGGGAACAAAAAGTAGATTCAATATTCCTCATAACTTCACAGAAAGCAAAAACTCGGTAGAATTTTTCATCCATTAAGTATAATTCTAATTTCGTCAAAGAATTCTAAGGTTATGAAAAAGGGGGAGAGAAAAAAGAGAAAAAAATAGTAAAATAAAAAAAATTGAACGATTCCAAAACGAGAGAAGTGCATCACTCACATTTTGGGGTAAAAATTTGAGCTGAACATATGTGGAGTAACTTTTTACTGCAATGAACGCAGCATTACTACTAGCAATTAAATCAATGGCTACAAAGTGTAAAAACAAAGATACATCATAATTTATCACTGCTTCCAAATTGGAGAATTTTCAGAATATTTGGAACAAGGGGCACAAATTCAGAACATCCCTGTGTTTAAATGAGAAACTTAGCATTGTTTTGAAACTTCATGATACACGTTCAAAATAACTGAATTCGGTAAAATCGCGTCATTTTTGTCTAGCCTCAGTAATAATTATACGTGCGTAATTAGTTTTTTTCTGGGGACTTATTCTCATTCAAGAGTTACAAACTCGAATCATACTAGAAATGAATAAACGAAGAAATCTGTGATAAAGTTGCTAAGGCTGTAAACATAACTTGATTCCCCTCGGTGAAAAATGAGGCTTTGTCGACACTGCCTACACTCGAGGGAATGACACTTGATAAACACTCGATTTCAGCAATACTTGATAAACAAACTGAATTTACGACCATGCAAAGAGGCTTGAGCAACGATCATGTGTCATTTGCTACATGCAACAAAAAAAAAAAAAATCGCAGATGACCTCTTTTCACTGTCAACGCAGGTACACACATTCAACAAATAATACGTAGGTAGTTGAGTATATTCGGGACTTCTTTTGAAATATCAGACAAAAATATTAAGGCGATTTCTCTAGTCAGTTAGGAGAGCGCAAAGCAGCGCATTAGTTCTAGGGAGGAGGTAGTAAACAAGTTTCTTATTATGTTTACAACAACAAAATTGTTAAGTTAAAACATTTTTAGAAAAATCTCTGAGGAAATGTGAAGTTTAAAAGAAGAAAAAAAGGTAAACTGAACTTGAAAAAGGGTGTACACAACGGGGTCTTTCTCGACAAAACGATGGTGAAATATTTACATACTCGGAGAGAATAAGAAAAACAATAAATTGATTGTGTTCGTAGTTGATACTGTGATTTGCTATTTATTACTTCATTCATAAGAGGGTTTCCTTACACGAAGATTTAACAGTTCATTGTAAGTTTTTGAAAGTTGATTTTTAGAGGTCGTTGCTACTGGGACATTCAAATCGATCAATACGAACTGCAAGCACAATCAAGAAAGTTTTTCCTCTCGGCGGGGTAAGAGGGGCTTACAAAGGCGGATCCAGCAAGTTGGCAACATAGTTTTCTCTCCATTTAAACCCGTGTTGAATAATCGATTCTTATCGAGCACTTGACCTCTCCAAGAATCGATTCATTTCCACAGGTTTAAACAGAGCGAACCCAATGTTGCTAAATTTCTGGATCCACCAACGGAGGGGCAAAAAACAGAGGCAGATCCAGCAAGTTGGCAACATTGTTTTCTCTCCATTTAAACCCGGGTAGAATAATCGATTCTTATCGAGCACTTGACCTCTCCAAGAATCGATTCATTTCCACGGGTTCAAATAGAGCGAGCCCAATGTTGCCAAATTCCTGGATCCACCAACGGAGGGGCAAAAAAGTAATAAATTAATTAACTTCTGCCGCGCTAGGGTAGAACGCCGTAAGAGCGTTCAAATGTTGCCAAATGGTCTCTTAAAAACTATTTATTTTTGAAAAACTTAAAGAATATCATTCCTTGAAATTTTCGGACACTTCAAGTCGAATTATGAAAAATATCTTCTAAAAAATTGATAAAGTATGTTTGCAAATCTTCCTGAAAATTTGCGATTTGTCGAAAGAGATTTAGCAACGCCTGGAGGCTCATACGCAGAGACGGATCCAGCAATTTGGCAACACCGGATTCCCTTCATTTAAACCTATGTCAAATAATCGATTCTTGTCGGAGCATCTGGCCCCGACAAGAATCGATACATTTCCATAGGCTTAAAAGGAGAAAAAACAATGTTGCCAATTTGCTGGATCCGCCAAGGCGTTGCCAAATCTCCTTCGACAAACCACAAATTCTCAGGAAGACTTGTAAACATTTTTTACTCAATTTTTAAAGGATTTTTTTCATAATCTGAGTTGAAACGTCCGAAAATTTCAAGGAGTAATATTCCTAAAGTTTTTCAAAAATAATAGTTTCGAGCAGAGGCGGATCCAGCAATTTGGCAACCCCGGATTTCCTCCATTTGAGCTTATGCTAAACAATCGATTCTTGACGGAGCACTTGGCCCCTCCAAGAATCGATACATTTCCATAGGTTGAAATGGAGAAAAGACAATGCTGCCAATTTGCTGGATCCGCCGACGGTTTCGAAGAGGCAATACACGGCGTTCTTCCTTAGCACGGCAGACCTAGACTACAACGATCACAGACAAGCGGGGCCCTACCCCCCTCTACACGAGGCAGAGGACAGCAAGAACCAAGGCTCCAGCGGCGAGGTGTATCCTCCACAGCGGCGACGCACTCGAGAAAGAGATATCGTTCTCCAAGAGGGAGGTCCTATTCCGGAGGGACGCCGGGTCGAACCTTAGCACGTCCTCCTGGGCGGAGTGCGCGGCGATGACGAAATCACCAGCGGCCTCGCCGGCCGTCATGACGTCGAAGACGCACCAGTCGAGGTAGCTGTCCGTGAGCCGGGTCTGGAGCTCGTTGGAGGCGGCCCGGCAGCGCTCGAGGGCCTCCTCGCGGCTGACGAGGTGCCCGCGGTCGGTGACGATGTTGAGCCGCTCGCCGGCGGGGCAGCCGCGGGAGCAGAGCTCGTTCGACTCGGAGATCCGGGTGATCTCGCGGGGGACCTTGGCGGAGAAGGCGAGGTAGCGGCCGACCTTGCGGACGACGAGGGTCGTCTCGATGTAGCGGAGGTAGATCTCGACGCGCTGGTGGTCGGGGCGCACCTCGGAGGCGGTGAGCACGACGCTGCCGTCGGGGCCGGAGCTGGAGGTGTCGTCGGTGAAGGTCGCGGGGAGGCCGGCGCTCTCCGACTGGGCCTCGTAGGTCTTCTCCGTCGTGCAGGGGCTGCTGCTGCCGCGGATTATGATGGTGATCTGGAACAGAGGAAAAAGAGGTCGTCGTTAGTTACTGACGTGGAGGTTGGAGTGATATGGAAGAAACAGGCACAACGCACATAGCTAAATGGACGGAGTTAAACAGAAAGGAACCAAGCCACATCTAGAGTCCCTTTATACCCAGAGTTAAGACAACTCGATTATCAGCTGACTGGCAGCCGGCCTTGGCTGGCCATGGAGGCCGAAACGAGTGCACCCAAACGAACGATATTGAGGGATAAGGATCAGGAATCCTGCGATGTCTGTCACACAAAAACAACAACATCAACAAACTGATCAATTAAAACGGAAATTAGATTGGTTTGTGAATAATGTCTTAATCTATTTTCATTTTAGACATGTGGAAATAAAAATTTACACTTGATAAACCACAATTAGGTAATATTTTCATTATTCTTGTTCACATTCGAGGTACCGCCATCTTGGTGCACTCGTTTCGGCCTCCATGAGCGAGAACCAATCAGAATTGGATTTTTTTTTAGGCCACTTTCAGCCCAACCAAAAGTGAGTTGTCTTAACTCTGGGTATAAAGGGACACTAGCCACATCGGGATCGAACCGAGAAAAAGAGGTTTAAAGTTTGGCTCCTGCATAAGATTCAATGTAAAAGACAAACTTCAAGTATAATTTCTGCAAAATTTGCTCCAACAAAAACTTTGAATTTTTGGCGATAGAGAGTAGAGTAGTGGTTGAGTTCAAAACCACTCATAACTCAATTTTTTCAAAAATGTGGGTTGGTTTCTTTCTGCTTAACTCAGTCCAAATATTATATAGAAGGTGGTGGCTAGAGTACATATATACGGAAGAGTATTGCCATCTCTGTGCCGCTCTCTGATTGGTTTATCAGTTTTAGGCTATCATGGAGCTCAAAAGTTGGCCCAATGTAAACAAACCCGACCCACAGAAACACGCATTATCGGCTGAGATATGAATGATAACCACACTCAACGCTTAATTTTCGGCAAAAATATCCATCAAAGCTCGATCCGAACTATAAATTCAGAAAAAAAGTTATTAAGTTGTTTCTTCTCTCAATTCAGAAGTTTTTTTTTTTTTTTTTTTTTTTTACTACTTCAAATAGCCCACGAGGGCTAATCCCACGCTTGAAGTCCCATCCCCCCTCCGTCCCTACTGAACCAGTCCCAGGCAACCATTGCTTGAGTCCATCAAACTCGGGTCGCCTGGCCGGGAATCGAACCCGGGACCTCCCGATCATAGAGCAAACGCTACAACCACTACACCATAGGAGGCCGACAAGTTGGATATAAAAAAGTTTCTATCTCATCCAGAATTACGTCTGGCACTTTGTCGCCATCTTCTTTGTTTACATTGGGCCAACTTTGGGGCTCCACGATGACCGACCAATCAGAGAGCGGAACACTTTTCCTGCAGTAAAAGGATTGGAGGACATAGTCTCCCGCATACTGATACTCTTTAAGTCATTTTGGGACGGCCCTTGGTCCTTGTTATCAAGACTTCACGTTGTGCGATTATTTTCTTCAGAAAATTTTGTAGAGAAAACATGCTACATAGTGCTTTAATTCACACCCAGTCTGGATGCCCATTCCCACATCAACTCCTCACATTCTGTTACTGCTCGAAAACGGAATTGAATCGAGCGAGACGAGCTTGACGGGGGGAGAAGGATGCTGCCCCGGACGGGAGATCCATATCCAGACACGGCCCGTTTATGTGACGCGGGAAAAGTCATGAGAAACTGTCAGATGGAGCGACGAGGGGCCGCCGCGCCGTCGACAGGGGTGGGCGGGGCGAGAGGGAGCGTGGAAAATGGTGACGCGCTCGGACAGGACAAGACAGGACACGGGACGTTTTCATTGAAAACCCCGCGATGCCTCGCCGTTGGGAGCGGAGCGTGTCCAATTTTCCGTAACTTGCGAGCTCCCATTGTTGTCGTCGACGACGACGGGTTTCGGATTCCGGATCTTCCGATTTTTTGAGGTGCAAAGACGTGAAACCACCTAGGGTGTCTACTAAAACAGGCTGGTAAAAAATCTGTACTTTTTCTGTACATTCCCAAGAAATTCAGTAACTACTCAACAGAAAACTTCAGTACTTTTTCAGTCCCTCTATTATTTGACGAAGTCCGCGAAAAATTTCGGAAACTTGCGACCTCTTGCGACAAAAATGGCGTGGACACAAAATTTCATTGGTGGCATGAAGATCAACTGACTGCATAATCGCAATCTTTCTTGCAGGCAAAGACTACTCAAAAAGTTAACGGACAAGGGATTGCATACTTTCCAGACTTTATTTATTTACTTATTTTTAAATCAAGAGCTTAGAGTAGTTAGAGCACTCTCTTTAATGGACTATCTTGGCCTTAGTCGCTAGACAAATAGCCACCACACATGGTTAGTACACATCCATTCTTCCAGTTTTTCAAATTTTCAGAGATTAAGGCCGAGAAGGATCTGTTTCAGCACATCTATTCGTCAGTTCCGGGAAAATTTGATTGATTACCGGGATTCTAACCCGGGACCTATTGACCTAAAGTCGACACAATGACCACTAGGCCAACCAGACCTGTAGGCTTCATTCAAAAAACGCGTGCGGTATGAAGAAAAAAATTCCGGACCTTTCGACGGAATTTCCGCGCTATTTCAAAGCTGCCGCACAACTTCTAACAAATCAATACTATTTCCGGACTTTCCGGGTTAGTAGACCTAGACACCCTGTAATGAAGGGGATCTCCTTTTTTACGGCTTCGTCTTTTAAGGAGCTTCGGACAGGCATTCTTTTCGGAGAAAACCAATGACTCTATCGTGAATTTCGCGAAATTTCGCATTGGATATCCTTCGAAAATTGCAGATCTCCGTGGCATCCAATCATATAGCTCCATTTTCCATGTGGCAAGCGTGCGAGCAATCTCTCTCGCAGCAAACGCGTCGCTTCTCGCCCCTCGTCTTGGCCGCTGAGGACATAAACGTCGAACGCGACGCACCTCGGTGGGAAAGCGAGTTGACAAAAAGACGAGCGGTCCATATAAGCCAGACCAGTTTTGCGTTCCGACCCGCCAACGGAGCCTCAAAGCTTCGCTCATCAGTTCCCACCTCCCAACAATAGCATCTCCCAGCTCCAACGGCATTTTCCTCCACGGTTTCTTACGAAATCCTCGCGGAACGCAGAAAAAAACCTCCGCGTCGCCAGGTAGTTCAAGCGACCGAATTATTTATGGCGAGCTTCAATATTTCAGGAGAAATAGAGTTTGAGTGAGGATAAATTGCAAGAAAAAGTTCCTGAACATCGATGGACGCAGAAAAATGTATATCTTAAACGTTTTTCGGGTTTTCCTTGTTAAAAAAAAAAAAAAAAAAAAAAAAAAAAAAAAAAAAAAAACTCGTTTTCCCTGCAAAATAGTGTGGATCCAGCACAATTTTACCACCTTGTTACAAAAATGTGTGGTGTCCAAATATGAACAGGTTACGCAAGTGCCGAATGTCACTCAGAGAAATCTTTAGAGAACAAAATTTTACTTCAAAAATTATTATTTTTAGTATCATACAAGCACATAGTACATAGTTCATAGTAGTAACAAAGTGCTCCAATAAATTTCGTCGAGTGTACTAGTTCGAATACAGGGTGCTCCATCGGTTAAAGGGCTGACAACGGATCGTCTTCTTTCATAGAGATTTTCTAGAAGTGAACCTGGTGGGGACAAAGGCTCCCTAAAATATTTATGAAATCATTTTTAGTGATTATTTCCTTGAAATCCCTTCCCCTTTCCTTTTCCTGAAAAAGGATTTCATAGGGTCTTAGATATTTCGGAGTAAAAAAACCGTAAGGTCGATGCCCCCAGTGGGAGTAACGGCCCCTTGAAATATTTAAGAAATCATTTCCACCGATGATTTCCTTGGAATCCCTCCCCCTTCCCTTTTCCTGAAAAAAGATTTCATAAGTTCTTGGATCTTCCGGGGAAAAAAAAAAAAAAAAAACGTAAGGTTGATGAGCAGCTAGTTTCGAAAAAATTGCGTTTGAATCGACTAACTGCGATTGCGGAGAGGCTGGCTACTCGCACTACGCAGAGGTATGACGCTGAGCGTATGTCTCAACGTCGACGTCGTATGATCGTCGGTCCGACAACCACGGACGGGGTCTCCAAATCTGGGGAGCGAATTCTTTCGACACGCTCGCCGCCGAGGAATTTTATAACTACGTGTCGGGAGGACCTTATTTAGAAAGTTTTCCTGAAAACCTCGGGGTCCGGCCGAGCCGAGCTGCGGTGGCAGCTGAAAATGGCCCGAACCGATCGAAGATCGAAGATCCCCGTCCGATACGGTCCGACCGCGGCTCGTTCCTCTGAGCCGGGTCTCTGGACCTTTGTCGGGCCGGATTTTCCAGGTCACGTGCGGATGATGATGATGATGATGATGATCCGAGCCGGGAATATATTCTGCGGATTTTCCTTCCTGGGCGTAATCGGCCAAAGCCCTTTTCTTTGCTCCCCGGAAAGGCATCCGTAGAAAAAATGAGAGTGAGGAGAAGAGATTCCTTTCTGAGGGCATAAAAAAGAGGTGACGAAAAAACAGCAGGAATGCTACCGTGTTACGGCAAAACGCCATATTTTCAGTGGCGTGGCGTGCTTTGCGATACATCGATTGATACGCCACTTAAACCTATGAAAAAGATCGATTATCGGGGTGTTCGCAGCGAACACCTTAGTAATCGATTCTTTACCATAGCTTCAAATGGCGAGATATCGATAATCGATCTTTCACGCTACGCCACTGCATATTTTATGAACCTTTGAACATGGCAGAATTAAGTCTGATCAAATACGAATCGTTTGGAGAACTGTTAATTAATTCTTGTTTAATTTTTCGGAGAAGTTTACTTGCGCTGTTAAAAAAAAAATCTTCTTTAAACACTGCAATTTGTTTATTTCGAATTTTGGTTCAGAGTGAGGAGAAGATTCCTTCGTGAGGGCATAAAAAAGAGGTGACGAAAAAACGGCATGAATGCTATCGTGCTACGGCAAAACGCCATAAAAATGAACCTTTGAACATTGCAGAACTAATTCTGATCGAATATGAATCGTTTGGAAAACTGTTAATTAATTCTTGCTTAATTTTTCAGAGAATGTTACAGGCACTTTTAAAAATGAATCTCCGAGGAACACTGCGATTTGTTTTTTGGCATTTTATTTTAAAATATGCAAATATTGTGTTATTAAAGGAACATTCGCGTATCCAGGAGACACGTTCTTGTGTTCAATTTGACCTTTTTAATGACAATTCAGGGAACCGAAATACAACGATTCATAGTCCTCAACACAATGGTGTGTTACTCAAAACACATAGTTTTTCCTCGGACAAAAATACCAAAAAAACACAACGTTGTGTTTAGATTTATCTAATATTGTAGACGTTTTTCGAGCGTACCGGAAATTTTAAATGAAAAGGAACTGGCGTATGATTTTGGAAATATTAATATCTTCCAGAGTGGAACATCAGTGGCTGAAAACTGTCACTCGATATGTCAAAGCCAAAATATGCGTAACTCCATACATTGCACATCTCTGCAACAATGAGCTAGAGTTTTTCTTGAAATTGTTAGCGAATTTCCTTCACTTATTCGAACATACTCGCAGAAAATTTGAGGGAAATATTTATGCTATTCTCTTAATCAAAAACAAATGAAACACAATCGGAGATTTTCAATCATTGGAGTAGAGTTATGTATGTTCGACTGAAGTCAGCAATTTACTGCTCTCATTTAGGCAAGTGACGAAAGACCTACTCTTCCAAGAATTTAAATTGAGTTATTGGCACCACTAAATACAGAGGAAACATGAGAGTATATTTGACCCTATAATCTAAAAATTGACGAAAAAGTACGGCCGAAAGCCGAACTCAGAAACCGATCTCCGAGAAAGTGCTTAGTTTGCGAAGTTCGCGTTGGTTTCCAAAACAACCGTCGGATGAAAACACTCTGAAAATTCGCTTATTCGATGACTCACACGCGACTCCGTTTCTCGCGTGATGGCGCAACTACGTTCCATTTTGAAATTTCCGTCATCGTGTCGCGAGCTTTTGGCGTCCGACGGAGAGGACGGAGCTTTTAAGCTCATTTTACGACGCAGATACCTCAACACGCGCACATAGCAGATACTGATAGTTGAGGCACGTGAAAGGTAACTGCAAAAATTGCAAACCAAAAGGTCGACGAAAGCAACAGAATTGGTACCAAGCGAAGAGAGCACTGAAAAAAAAACTTACGAGCTTTTCAGACATACCGTCCGTTCCGGGCTCAGAGGCCGAAAGTTCCAGGTGCTGGAGCCGTAGGATCGAAAGCTTCTCAGACATTTTGATCTCTCGGTCTCGGTTACATTGCAATTAAAAGCTTCCCTAATTATATACCTCTAGGCTCAAGTCAACTTTTGCACGACTGAAAATGTCCCGTTTTTTGGCCGGCTTGCGTCAAGCTTGGTGACGTTTCCGAATTCTGATCTGAGGCGAGATGAAATCATGTGGGAACTTGGAACTGGTTTTTCGAGCTAAACGCTGGTTTTTGACAGCGAAGACGTCATTGCAGAACTTTTGCTTCATCAATGTTACAAAACATAATGGCTCATTACTTCTCACCTCAATTTCAAGTTTTTCGCGTCTCACCGTCTGTCCTAAAAATTTAAGCAGGGAGCTCACCGAGTTATTACTTTAAATACTGATGCCATTTACAAAGTCTGCTCTAAAATATTTGGGGGCAAGGCATTTCTTTCAAAAAACGCTTTTGGAACCCATTATGACTTTACACCAATTTGTCCTTGGCGCTTTAATGATTGAACTGTATGATGTAACATTACATTCACTTTCAATTTTTTCAGGAAAACCCCCTATACTGCCGTGCTGAGAAAGAACGCGGTATGAGCCTTCCGACTTCACCAAATTTCCTTTGATAAAATGCAAATTTTCAGGAAAACCTGAGGAAATTTTTCTTTGAATTTTTCAGTGAATTTTATTCGCGATCATATCTTAATTATCTCAAATTTTAAGGAGAAAATATTTATACCTCTTCTCAAAAATATCAATGGAATTTTTTTTGCAAAACTCTGATTTTCTCCCTTAACATTGCAGTATACTGCCGTGCTAAGGAAAAACGTCGTATGAACATTCGAGAGTTGCCAAATTTCTTTATGTAAAACATGTATTTGTGAGAAAAGTTATGCACATTTTCCCTTGAAATTTTCGGATACTTTAGATTAAATTGGGTACCCAACAGTCTCAACAATTTCGGAGACATATTCAGAAATTTTCCAGTAACTTTTTCTGTTATTGAAGGAGACATGGCAACGCCTGAATGCTCATACGGCGTTTTTCCTTACCACGGCAGTACACTCCCTAGTGGCTCTGCAGAAATCGTTCCCCTCTATTTTTCTCTGCTTTTAGACGGATGACACAACTTTGTCTCCACTTTGACGTCCGTCGAAACTTTCCCTCTTTCTCAGAGCCTTTGAAAGGTCGTCGTCAAGGCGCCGGAGTTTTTTCTCAAGCCAAAGCCACAGACAGTTCCAGTTCCGCGCAGTCTGCGGCTCGCCCGTGTCCTGCCATCGGATCCGCCGCCCGAGAAGAATCCACA